CGCCCTCGAGGGAAAGTTGCTAGTGGGAGACGCCGTTCGTTGAAAAATAGGTCTCTCCCATTTTCCCGTAGCTGGGACAAAGACTGTTTCTTTGAAGGACTTTAGTCAACTAAATCCTAAGATTTATGACGGGCCCTCAGGCTAGCTGAACATGTACTGCGGAGACGCATCGACATCTGGCAATCATCTTGCTCGAAGAATAGGATCTGCGTGTGGCGAGCCACGGGACAGAAACCGTTGGAATGTTTACTGTCGCGTCACGCCACAAATATTTCTCTTAAGAAGAGCTATAGAATTACTCCATACCTTTGTTAGACAAAGCGTTCATCCCTTGACCGCGGCTACGTTGGGCGACAGACTGTCGCCTCGAGTCAAAGCTCACTATCACCAATCTCGAACAATTACAATCGGATTGAATAACTACAATTGTTTAATTACAGCTATAGTAGACTCTAGGTTACAATGTTGCGGGATTACCCAAAATTCCAAAGGCTCCGGTGTTCTTCCATCTCCGACATATACCGGCGCCCTCGAGCCCAAGCTCATTATCACAACTCGTGAACAATTACAATCGGATTGAATAACTACAATTGTTTAATTACAGCTATAGTAGACTCTAGATTACAATGTTGCGGTATTATCCAAAATTCCAAAGGCTCCGGTGTTCTTTCATCTCCGACATATACGATAAAAGAGTTTATTATGCAGATCTAACAGAGTAACGGTTCAAAGTGTTACAGAATGATTCAAAGTATTACAAGAGATTGCGTCAAAATATCTTAACAGATTGATTCGAGCGCGTATTTTGGTGGGTTTTTATACTGTGGTTTCTAAGCGGTGGTCTTCTTGAGCGTGTGATACTATCGTGGAATTTTAGTCGGTAAGTCCGACACTACCTCGACAGTGTCCATGAGGATCTCCCCACGAAAAAGAAGTTCAAGGTGTAGAGGATGAGGTGGTTCAAATATCGATTCTTAGTGTCGTGTGCACTTTATTTGTAATGCCTTATACAAAGCACGAGTCCTGATCTAATAATCGTGATATATACGCGCGCGTGTTGATATCTTCGAATGCTAAACTCTCTCTCTCGATAAACTCTGTTTCGCTTGTCAATTCGCTCGTTTATTTATATCGGTCGGGGGACAGTCGGAAAATTTGAACTCGACTGCTTGACGATTGAAAGTAACGGCGACCTTGTTTTGCCTCGGAGTTTGATTATTAATATAATATATGTTTGTTCTACGATATTGATGCTCCGAGGCAAAGCAACAATAAGATTTGAATTTATTAACGTGCTGCTACAAAGGCTTGAATATATTTAGAAAAATAATAATTTCACTGCTCTTAGTATCAGTTTCAGTGATTTCAGTAAAAATAAATGTAATTTTCAGTATTACTAGCAATTTGTTTTATCCTCTTCTCACCAAATTTTGAGATACAAATTTTTAAACCTAAAATTCCATCTAACAATGAAGGTCATTATCGGGATTGATACATGTTTCCGTTTCGAATATACATCAAAAGAAGTGTCTCCTTTCTTAAGTTGAGCTCACAATAAGCATCTTCAATCAGCACTTCATTCTTTTGTTTTAATGGTGAAAACAAGTGATCGAAGAGATAGTACGCATGAAAATATACTACAATATGCTCAAATATACTACACAACCTGCTACAATATACTGCAAGAGCGATGTAGGTAATTGTGACCAAACACAGAAAACCAGGAACGTTAGCGTCATAAGCAGCCTGTTCCTTTTTGTTCTTTATCTGGAGTTTTAGCATTCCTCTCTTACAATAATTAGCTCTTTGTGATCTATCTGTTTTCTCTCCTTTTTCCATCTACTTAGACACTCATTTCTTGGAATCCGCGGACACAGTACGTAATTGATCTTCATCGAGCAACCTTGTCAATACGCATCGTCATTTGTCACTCGCTCATTTGAAGAGATTAGATCTCGATAGTATTCCTATTACACCATGTATATGTTTCATGATATGGAGCAATATCATATGGTAGTAATAATAACATACATCGAGTTCAGCAGACGTTCGTATAGATCAAATTTTTGATATCCAAATTTACTACAGTGTTGCAGTGCAACATATGAGCGAGTAATTACATAAAACGACCTGAGTTAAAAATTTGGTAGGAGTCCCATTTCAGGAATAGGTTATTCAGAACAATAAACTCCATACATTTTAAGGCAGTCCATATGAGATGGTTGTGCCAATAGACTTAAATGCCAATAAGAACATCTTACTGGATTTTCAAATCCAAGTCGAAAATGCATTCATAAGCAGTTGCAATTTTCATACAGCGATGATTGATTTTAGTCTCCTGTGCAAGCACTAAATATGTTTTCACTTGAAACCTTTTCGACTTCAGGTATTTTCAGGTTTTTCTTTGCATATTATCTATAGACAGTCTTGAGTGCAGTGACGTTGGTTTGAAAATTTTGGGTGGGTTCGACACCCGTGTTTTGATGAGAAACGTAATTGTTGACAATACATCTGTTCGGTTGAAATGTACTTGTTAAGGTATAATAAATTAATTGCTTTATTTGCATACAACATCGATACATATATGTCAGAGATGTAGTTATAACGGGCTTTTCTTTTGGAATTTTGGGAAGATTCCCAATACTTTGGTCCAAACTGTTTGTCATAGCTGTTCATTATAGTGTTATAACAGTGGGCATGGGGTCGAGGTGACACAAGTGGTCACCGACCGTAGCCACGGTCACGGGATGAACGTTTTACTTAACAGTAGAAGTACCAATGTTGAGGAACACACATTGTATTAACAAACAAGTCCCGAGGCGGGAGCAATGATGGCTCTATGCGAGTCTGCCTAGTAAGGGCGCCTGGAATTTTGTTGATAACCCCGATCAATACGCAATTGACAACTGTGATCGTGGCAGTCTTTTATTCTTATGATCACCTTGGAGAGTTTATACACAACGTCAATCTGTTAGTCTGAAAGATACCATACGTCATAGCAAACGTCATTTTGAGTATTAACACGTATCCAATTGTACAAAGAATTATCCCGTTGACCGTGGATTCGTTTGAACCTAAGAACATTGTTTATTTTAAGAGTGTCTTATAACGTTAGTTATACCCTGTAGTTAAACCCTGTTAAATCAACTCCCGTACATATCAGTGTAAATATAAACGAAATACAACTTTTCGAAACATTTAATGTAAAAACAGGGAAGTCATGACCCTTGCTGATATATATGTCGGAGATGGGTCAGGAATAAGGTTGTGGGCGTTTGATGAATCTTCATTGGAATCGGCCATCGTCGTGTTATAACAAAGGTACGGTCTGTTAATACGAGTATGGATGCTACCGCCTCGACAATCATCAGCGGATACTAGTGATGTATCACATGTAGACACTCGCGATACTAGTGATGTTGGTCTTAGGTTCAATAACGAATCCGCGGTCAACGGGATGATAGATGTACGTGCTCACAAGAATCTAA